TGAAAGTGAATTGTCAAAAAAATTAGGGTGCATCATAGTCCATGTTCTCAAATCAATAACTTTTTCCTTTTTAAAAATCCTTGTGTGATTATTAAAGCATAGTTTTATGCATTCAAACATCAAAAACTGACCTACAACATGTTACTTGCATGCTAATTAACATTACCTTTCAATATTTTTCACACTTCTGTCCCCTTCTTTGTTTCATCTTGCTGACGACCTTTCCTTAGCTAGAATGTTCACAGTGAATATCATGGCCTGAAACTTAACATGACAGCTCTATGTTGGTGCTTCCTAACTTCATGGGACACAGGAGAACTAGAAGCTTGAGAAAGGCCCTGGGAGAAGTTATAGCCCTGATAAATTATGAATGCTAAGAGGCCTAGTGGTTGCATCATTAAGCATCATTGTGACCTCTTGGCTATTTTGCAGTTCAACAGCTCCTGAGGTAAGAAGTCGTATCAGAGATCTTTCATAAATCATTGCATAATAATGTATTAGGATAATATACAATTATAGAATAATATAGTATTATTTGCAACATTCTAAGGTAATGTTTGACATACACAGACCAGCAACTATAAATCTTGCAGGTATACATCTGTACAATATAATACAGATTTAAAACTATACAGCAGGAAAAAGAAAATATAGTTAATTGAAAATACATGTGACTCAAGTTTGAAAATTAAAGTAATAAAAGCACAACAAATATTTTGGTGTGTGTATTCCTGTATTTTGTTCACTAGTTATTAGAACAGTATTCAGGACATCATTAGCTACATGAATCTGTAAACAGTATAATAAATTAATAAACACACAAAATACATTCATGCAGTGCTTCAAAATAGTCAGTGTCTATTTTGAAATAGCATAATCTTTAATATGCTTTGATAAAATTTTTAAAATGTATAAAAAGCAATGTATCTTTGATCTGACTATAGCGTCCAATATAGTGTTTATTTTATGGAGAGAAAATATTTCAATGATGTTCGTGACAAAATTTTAGCAATGAGAATGTCTTCTCAGATATTAATACTGGTTTCAGAGATCAATAAGTTTGTTGAGTAGTTGCTTCCTCCAGTAGTACATATAGTATCTTCTAGCACTATAAAACTAACCAATTGTGTTGAAATTTAAAGACCAATCCAGATATCTTGATATCTTCATGCTCTGTGTTTCAAGTACAGGGTGCTTTCAGCAACAAGGTCATACCATTGAGCTCTGGAGTGTAGCTAATAGTAATGAGAAGAGCCTGAGGCTTTTGCATGGTTTATGAGATCTTACTGGCTAGCAATACCAAAAGAGGGACCCACTCACCCAAGATGGTGTATGGTTACAAGGGAACAATGTCATACAGACAAAAAGAGACAGCTTCACATATGACCTCACAGTGATTGTGACAATATATATAATTGCTGTCCATCTTAACCTCCCTGAAAATTTTACTTCATGACTATGCTTTTGAATTATATCCTCTTGTCTACCTTAGTGATTTGTAGCATTATAAATGCTAATTAGAACTACCTTCTCTGCGAAGTATACAATTGAATATTTGGCTCTTTCTTACTAACGCTTTAACAATGGATGAATAAAGCTGCCGGAACATTTTCACTACTTTTATGCATAAAAGTATTCCCATTTATCCTGAAGGAAAAAAAAACCTGAGAAACACATCATTGAACTGAAGGAAAAATTTGTTTTCACACTTATATATGCTGTCAAGCCAGTTTGACAAATTTTCAGAGTTTTGCACTTTATTCTCAAGATTCAAAGGGAGGGACCTTAAATGAAATGCCCGACAGTAGGGAGAGGGAACTTACAGACCCACCTCCAACAGGCAGACAGGGCATCAAGTGAGGGAGGGGTTTGCCATCCCACAGTCAAAACTCTGACCCACAATTGTTCCTGTCTGAAAGAACTACAGGGATGGAAATGGAGAGGAGCCTGAGGAAAAGAAGTTTCAGTGACAGGTCCAAAGTGGGGTCCAGCTCCCGGGGAGATCCCAAGGCCTGACACTATTGCTGAGGCTATGGAGCCTCAAAAGAGACCTATCATGACTGTCTTCCTAAAGACCCAACAAGCAGCTGAAAGAGTCAGATGCAGATATGTGTACCCAACCAATGAACAGAAGCTGCTGGATCCTGTGGTTGAATTAGGGAAAAGCTGGAAGAAGCTGATGAGGAGGGTGACCCTGTGGGAGTATAAGCAGTCTCAATTAACTTGATTCTTTCTTACTAATGTTTACTAATGAATGCATACATCTGCCAAAAAAATTTTCACTATATTTTAGGCATAAAAATATTCTCATTTATCCTGGAAAAAGCTTAGCAACATATCATTGAAGTGAATGGAAGATTTGTGTTCACACTTGTAATATCATGTCAAGGCAGTTTGACAAATTTTCAAGATTTTATGCTTTACTAATGCATGCTCTGTGATGTGTCTAGATACTCCTTGTCTACATGTGACATTGCTACAACTTTACAAAAGCCAGTTTTATATACTTGTATGAAGATGTCTCATTTTGATTTCATTAATGTTGAATCACAATGAGCCTCTGCTCATTTACATAGGTACACTTCACATGCTGACCTTGTATCTATAAGGTTTATTTTTTCATAAATAACCTCATTTTATTTTAAACATTGTTGTCCTTATGGCATCACTATTGCAAAATTTTAGGACATTACATATTAAGTCCAATGGCGGATTTATTTAATTGTCGTGGGTTCATCTCCCCATTTTTATCCATTTAAGCTTTAAAACCCTTTACTTAACTCTTTCTTTCATACAGATGCTTTAATCATACTCAACTCTCCTTCTCCCAACTCCTCCCTGATCCTGGTCTTTCCCTTCATCTGTTCTCTGTCCTGTTGTTACCATTTGTTTCTTCCATATATTCATGGATATATGATTTCCTCCTGTCACACAGTTAACTTGTCTGGCACTCCACTCTGAGAGAAACTGATATGCCTTCTCTCAGAAGTTATAGAATGCCAATAGCTCCTCAGCTGGGGTGAACCCTGAGTGGAACTGCCCTTTCTCTGCTGGCACATGGTCTGGCTTTGGCTTCCAATGTTCCTGTGCATGCACGTCACAATCTTAGGAACATCTGCTCTGCTCTGCCCAGATATATGTTTGTGTTTTATTTGTGTTTGAATTTCTAAGTAATTTTGAAGTTGAAGTCTTCCACAGATGCCAGTAATTTACTCAATGTTGTCTTCAAGTAGTTCTATCATACTCTGTCTATGTAAATCTGTGAACTTTCTTGAAATTCATTTTGTTATCTCTCCAAGATTTAAATGTTTGTATTTCAAAGTTTTCACCTTTTTGCATTTTAATGACTAAACTCTAATTCAGTTACGAATTTTCCTTTTGTGCACAATCAATAATTGATTCACAATTCAATAGAATAGAAGATAATAGATATACATTCCCCTAATTAATGTATTTCTGTGTTGCAACCCTTCCTATTTCACAAAATATAAATGGAAAAGGAAGAACTGATTTGAGCTTATGTAATTTTAATATGTAGAAATAGCCATTCTTCTCATTTCAGATAAAGTTTATATAACCTAACAACACAAAATCATATTGCAGATTTTTCTGAGTGATAAGATGCCAGTAATACTTACTTATACTTTATAGTATATTAAATTCTGTAAACATGGTGTTACTAGAATCAAGTACTGGACACATGATGCTGCTAGGTTTAAGCTCCAGTCACATGGGACAACCAGGATTAAGTACTGTACAAATGTTTACAGTATTTAATGCAATGTCTCCTCAAGATGTAAATCAATTTTCACATTTGGGTATATAAAGACTTTACATTAGGAATTAGAAAAAAAGGGAATGTCAAAAAACAAGAGTTCTGAAGATCTCCTAGGGACAATAAATTTTGGATAATTATTCACTGTTTATAGGGGAAACTTACTTACTCATCACAGTCTTGTAATTTTGCTCACTACTTCACATTCTAAATCTTAATTTTGAGATCTTGCTATGCAGTGATGAAAAATCTGAAAGCTTGAATTCAGTGTGAGTATTTTATGTGAAGTACAATTTTAACTTCTAAGTATATCTTTAAAAATAATAATAAATAAATTTCATTTGTCTAAGATGATCCAGTTAAGGTAATTATATACATGCAAAAGGCATACTAAACCAGAAATAATTCATATAGGTATGTTGTGTAGATGGAAAATAATAATAATGTGGATTGCCTTGGTGCTTTTTGTATTTTGGTGCTAATCCTGCCCCCGGAGAAGTGGATCACGTACTCAGGTGATTTCATATGAACCTACTGCCCAATTTAATTGGTCAAATAAAGGCTAGAGCCTTTGATTGGGCAGTGGAAGGGAAAAGCAGGGCTGGAAGTTTTAGAGAAAAGAGAGAAAAAAGAGAAAATGAGATGGAAGACAGAGGGAGAAGAAGTGAAGGAAGAAGAGGTGGAAGATGGAGCAGACACACATGGTCTGGAAGAGCAGCAAGTAGCTATGGTTCTGATAGCTGGGTAATAGAGTAGGGTAGTGGTAATAGAGTGGGCAGTGGGTATCTGCCCAATCTAGGTATGCATTTTGTAAATATATTAACTGAGTTGTGTGTTCTTTGCCTGGGCACATTAGGGTTGGAGATTTACCAATACAAATCTGGCTGGTATAAATATAAAAGTCTCTAGTGTTTTTCTTTCACAGGAGTAAAGGGAGAGGAGTGAGACCAGAGAGGTCATTGGTGTTCCCCAGAGCAGCCATGGGAGTGGATAGCCTGAGGAACAGAAGTAGCTCCAGGCATTTTCAGGAATAACTGGTGTGGTCCGTATAGCAGGCCAGCTCCAGGAACCAGGGCCAGACAGCTGCTTGGACCTAGCCGTGGAGGCTGAGCAAGACCTCCATTGCTGGCACCTAGTCAGAGAGTGTGGGGTTTGTTTGTTTTACACACTTCAAAATAAAGTCATTCTAACAGGCTTATGATTGTTTTACTCCTTCAGGATAAGAATGGAAGACATGGCAGCAGGAAACCATTGCACAGTGACTGAGTTTTTCTTGGCTGGCCTCTCAGAGGAGCCAGAACTCCAGCTGCCACTCTTCCTCATCTTCCTGGGAATCTATCTTATCACTGCTGCAGGGAACCTGGGCATGATCACACTGATTGGGCTCAGTTCCCATCTGCACACACCCATGTACTATTTCCTCAGCAGTCTGTCCTTCATTGACTTCTGTCAGTCCACAGTTGTTACCCCTAAAATGCTGGTGAATTTTGTGACAGAGAAGAACTTCATCTCCTACCCAGAATGCTTAGCTCAGCTCTACTTTACCATCATTTTTGGAACTGCAGAGTGCTACACATTAGCTGCAATGGCGTATGACCGCTATGTAGCTATCTGTAACCCCTTGCTTTACAATGTAACCATGTCCTCTCAGATTTACGGTTCTCTGATTTCGGGGGTATATATTTTTGCTGTGTTCTGTGCATCAGTAAACACAGGATTCATGTTTAGGATTCAGTTCTTCAGGATAGATGTGATTAACCACTATTACTGCGATGATGTTCCCCTTTTTCAGCTTGCATGTTCTAGCACCTATATCAATGAAATGTTGATTCTGTTTTTTGGTATATTGAATATCTTTGTCCCGATGCTGACCGTCATTACTTCCTATGTCTTCATTGTTGCCAGCATCCTCCGCATTCGCTCCAGGGAGGGCAGGTCCAAAGCCTTCAGTACTTGCAGTTCCCACATCTTGGCTGTTGTTGTTTACTTTGGATCTTTAGCATTCATGTACTTACAGCCATCATCAGTGAGTTCGATGGACCAAGGGAAAGTGTCTTCTTTGTTTTATACTACTGTTGTCCCCATGTTGAACCCTTTGATCTACAGCCTGAGAAATAAGGACGTCAGTGTTGCACTGAAGAAAATACTTGAAAGTAAAAATTTTATGTAAGCAGAAGTCATGTAAAGATTACTTACTAAACCAAAGTATTTAAAAACACATAGATCAGATTGATAATATTTGTCTTATCCTATCATTATTATTAGTCATTTGGTAGGAACCTTTGATATGTTTTACTATTAGAAATTTCAACTTTAATTTTGAGCACCTAATATCTCATATGCTTCTCAGAATCAGCAATGAAAACAAATAGTAAGAAAGACATGGATATTCATACCTATAGCTGATTGTCCATTATGTTATATAAATATGTTTTCTGCATATTCCATTAAAATATACTTTTAAATGTTAAAGATTTTTAATTACAATAAAATGATTTTTATTCGTTTTATTTCATTTTTGATAATTTTATATGTAAGGGTTTGTTTCTCTCATCTCTCTCCAACCACTCCCATGATCCTCCTGTTCTCTCTCAAATTAATGACTCTTTAACTTTCACTGACATATACCCATAGAAAGTCGGATTCTGTTCTCAATTATCATTAACTTCCCTATTTCTCCATCTAGGAATGGAGTCCTTGTGATTTTTCTTGTCCTATATTAGCATTTCATGTGGTATAAATTTTGCCTCTTTTTTAGAAAACTATATTGTTTAGGTTTACAGTGCCCCTTTCCTGTCATGTGTAGAAATTAAAATACTACCACAGCCTTTCTTGTACTCTGGTTATTATAATATTCTTTTATTCTCTTCCAAAATGTTCCCTGGGCTTTAAGCATGGAGGTGGTACTGTATTTGGATGAAGTGTGTCTGTTACCCCAGCAACAGTTGTTCCCTCTATTTAGACAGTCATGGAGTTCTGTAATCGTCTTCAACCATTGTAAAAAGAGTTGCATTTCTGTGGGTGACAAGGTAAATACAAAGTATGCAATTAGAGATTATACTAGTTTGTGTAGTTGTTACTATGAGATTCTCCTCTATGTTTTGTGTCCTCAACAGAAACACATAGTTGCCTATGTTAATAGAAGGCATGAGTTTCCCCTATTGATTGAGACTTAAGAACTATTTGTTATATATTGATTATTGTTAAAATCAAGTCCTTTCATCATAGGCCAAGGAGTAGAATTGCAGGATCCTTTGGTAAAAAATTTTTTTTACTTTTTTATTTTCTTATGTACTCATTTACATATGTATTTCCTTTCCTAGTTACTTAACTCACCACACTGAGTTCAGAACAGCTGCACCAGTTTGCAATTCCATCTACAGTGAATAAGAGTTTGTTTCCATATCCTCTGTAGATTTGTTTTGGCTTGCATTCTTTACTTATTCCTGTAGTAGTAATTTGAAACGTCAGAGTTTCATTTTTTTGCTCATTTATTGGTTAATTGATTTATTTTTCTAATTTGATGTCTCTGCAAAAATGAGATGTTCCAAATCTCATTCAGGTGTATATTGGTGTACTTGCTCCTCTGTTAATCATTTCAAAAAACATACTCATATGTAAAAGTAATGTTTATTTGCTGGAAGTAATTGTATCTAAGGCTTACTGCCTCCATATTTTAACCTAAGCCTAGGCCTGAAAGATTGTAGACTCAGTTCAATTTTATCTAGGCCTAGAAAATTTTGGTCTCTGAGACTTACTGCTCAATAAATTCACCCTCTTTAGCTCTTTCTGAACTCTGGTTACTGGGTTTAATTCAGCTGCCTGGCTAAATCTCCTCTCCAAGCTCACTGATTCAAATTGGCATCTTTCACTTCTGAATGAATTTTTACACTTTTCCTCAAACTATCCAGCAATCTGTTCTAATTTGGCTCCTTTTCAATATATGGCTACTTCTATCTTGACCTGTGTCTACTTTGTTGCGTCTTCAATTTGCCTCTTTAAAACTCCTTTAGTCAAACTGCCTGTTCCCTCTCTCTCCCTCTTCTCCTCCCCTCCCCCTCCCCCTCCCCCTCCCTCCCTCCCTCCCTCCCTCCCTCCCTCCCTCCCT